TTGAAACGGCTTTTCACATAGCTCAATTATCGTAGGCTAAGGTTCATAATCACCCTTTCTTTAATTAATTAACGCTTTAACTAATTAAACTTGAATGCAACATTTTCATTTGGTTTTTGTATCCGTAGAATTGATTTAAATGGAGCTAAATGAAATGAAAATCCAATTCTCATTTGAAGAGACAAAACAATTTTTGTTCTCTACCTAATTTGGGCCAAAATGCTATGACCTCAACTTGTTTGGGCCATAGTGCAATTAACCTCAACTTTTGGGCTATTTTGCAAAAACTTAAACTTTTGGGGTCACTTTGTAAAAACACAAAAGTCCACTACTTCATGTAATTACAACTAGAACCCAAAATTTTCCACAAAAAATAAAACTTCATTAAAGGAGCAAAACAATTTGTCCTTTTAGTGATTTTGGACCTTTACGTAAAAACATAAACTTTTGGGTCAAAATGCAAATACACAAAAGTATCAAAACTTTATATAATTGCACAAAAGCCCCACAAGGACCCTAATTGAGTAGGGTGGCTGATTTTGAAGCAAAGTAATAAAAAAAAATTTCAAAGTTTTTGTAAGTGGGGTGTGTGTAATGGAATAAATCATTACACACCAAACCCACTATAATTTCTTTAATTTTTCAAAATAAATATCTAATATATTTAAACATAAGAAATATTTCAAAACAAAAACTTTATGAAATAAATCAAAACTTTGAATCAAAACACCAAACCTTTTGTTCTTGGCAAGAACATATCAAGAACAATGAAGAACATTCATGAAAACCCATAAGAGCTCCATGAACATTCTTCACCCAAAAACATCCCAAAACCACTCAAACTTAAGGGAAATAACATACAACCATACTAGGGTACATAGGGGTTCCAAAAGTCACTTTAAAACAATTTTAACAAGTCAAACAAGAACCCAAAATTCCACCCTTTGAATTTGGCCGAATTTCCCAAAAAACATGGCACCAAATTTTAGCTCCAAAATTCATGCTCATATGAACTACATCTACAACATTTGAGATGGCAAATTTTCTAACAAAATTTACATTCAAAGAAGCAAGAATAAAGCTTGTAACAATTACAACATTCAAATCATAAACTATGAACTACAAAACCCAAAAGGATTCACCAACTACTAGACTTAGGCTCTTGATACCACTTGAAGGAAAATTTGTGAAAAACATGTTCATTTAAGCAACATCAATAGCATGCAATTAACAATTAAAGGCGGAATCATGCTTGTATGCACTTAAAACAAAACATTTACCCATGAAATTCAAAGCCTAGTAGATAGGTGAATCAAGACTCAACTCAAAACAAAGTGAGTTGAGAAATCAATACCTTTGTAGATTCCTCTTTGCATAAGCAAAGGCTAATCACCCAAAGAGAGGGCCTTCATTCCTTGCATCTTGGATCCATGGATTTGGATGGATGAAAAGGTTTCTCCAAGTTCCCAAAATTGAGAACCTCTAAGTCTCCACACCAAGGTATATTGAAGAAGAAATGAGTGACCTAGAGGAAGTAAGATTGCTAGATTTTCCCCTCTAGATTGGCCAAAATTTTAGAGAGAAAGGAGAGCTTGTGTTCTCATCCTTTCCCCCAAAAATAACCCTTAGTAAATTTTAGGCTATAAAGTCCTTTATATAGTCCCTTCAAAATAAGTGACCTAATGGACCAAAAGCCCTATTCTTTTACACATGGCTAGCCTATAGGTTTATTGGGCTTTCAAGCCCTTTGTTTTATTCAAGTTGTCATACAACTTGAGTTAATGGGCTTGACATTCAAATCCCATTGGGCCTTGCGGCCCAAAACTAACCCGAGGTTTTTAACGAACTTATTCGTTTGATTAATTAACATATTAATTAATCCTTGCCATAAATAATTAAACCATTTAATTATTCTTACTCATCTCCGTTGAATCTTCAAACTCTACCTTACACGGTGTACGATCCATTAGGTTCCTTTTAGCGAGGCAGTGGGCGATTCAAACTCTTTCAAATCGATTGTGAATTGAAACTTACTTTCAATTCTCCCGTTAGTGATAATACACTTTTAGGGCTTCCACAAACCATGAGTGACACCTAGCAGCATATCATGGTTACCCAAGCTAATCAGAAGAGGTGGAGAACCTATTCAGTTTAGGATTACAAATGCAATACGGTCTTTCTCTAATACAATACTCTTGACCACATTGTTTGGTTTGATAGTTTATTCATGTCTACTATCCAATGTGAATCTTTGTACTTATATGATTACCTTGAATGTGATCTGGAACGCATTCCAACATCTCATTCATACTCTGGCCAGAGATTCTAAATCATATCATAGAGTATTCTCCCTCAAAACAGTTTGAAGGTTAGAGATCCCTTGTTGCGCATTCACTTGCCTCCATGGCTAAGTGGCTTAACCCCAACGATGCCGTGGACACCCTGATAGAGTGACGTTGACATAATCAAAGATTAAGGACCTAACCACAAGACAACTGTGATGCCTCAGGTCAAAAGACTAATTTGCATTATCCCAACCATGAGTTCTCATGTGACATGAATATGAGAACTCTTCGTTGATCGTGTTCAGTGAACTCATTCTCTATTGAGCACCTACGTACTTGTCTTGATGTCACACACACCAATGACTCGAGACTAGTCACTCTCCCTGAGAGAAGACATAGCACGTACTGATCTTAACGGACTGTCAATGCCCAATTGATAATCCTATGATCAGGAACGTTTAGGATGTGTCAACGAAAGAATGGTCTCATGAATCTAACTTCTTTAGATCGCATTCTTCCAATCACATATTCCTTGGACTTATCGTTTAAGCATATAACATTTATATTAGACGGCTCAAACAATAATCTTTGCCCTTTACATTTAAACTACATTAGTTTGAAATGAACTACATTAGTTTGAAATGTCCGTAAAGTATCATCATATGATTGGTTTTAGGGCACATTTCCAACAAGATTTTCCTAATGCATATTCTACTTGTGGCATCAAGCTAAAGTGTATATCCAACATGCAATCTGTCTGTGATATTCTGATCAAATTTAAACATGCAAGACTCATAAAGTTTTTTGAAAACCTCTCGAAAACCCATGAACCCTTAAGAGTGTGACATTCACCTTAAGTGAACTTACAATTATCAATCACAAGAATGATTCATCAATTTCAGGGTAGCATTCCAACATAAACTGCATCCAATTACTTGTTTTGAAAAAAAAAATATTATTAAGAAGAAAAGGTAGAAAACACCCTTGTAGAATAAAGTTGTAAATTGCCAAAGCTCCTAAACTGAATTGTCCTAGCGAAAACGGTCTATCCCTTTGGGGCTCCAAACTCAACATAGAAATAGACTTAGAAATCCGAATCCTATCTAAAATGGGTTTCCCAAATAAATTCATATAACTAGAAAACACATTCTTATTTTAACTTGGGTAATTTGGTCAGCCAAAGAATCCACACGTTTTATGACCAAATCAGCACCAAATCAGACATACGAGGTGGCGTTGAAAAGCTAAAAACGTCTCCTACAATTTTGCAAAGGGAAGTTTCCTAAAAAAAACCGTCATCTTTAATTATGGGCCACAACGCCAAAAACGTGAATCTGTCAGCATTGCTCATCTTCCTTCATTTAATTGCTACGATAAAACGAATTGGAATTTTGGGCTGAGATTTTGACACAATCATCATAATTGACTTGCGAATCTATTCCGAATGGAATTACTCCAAAAATCCTTTGTTTCATCACTTTTTGCACAAAGTAGACTTACATGTTATGTTTTAATCAAAATATAAAACAAAGTATCTAAATTCTCACAAAATAAAAATAAAGTATAACTCAGATTAAGGTAAAAATATAGAATATAATATCGACTAATGACAGCTCAATCAATCAAAGATTAATGTTTTGTTGGCGTTAGACACGTGTTCACATAGAAACCTTAAAAACTATTTGCGTTTCCTCTCTTTATTGGGTGATGGGCGATGAGTGTGAGTGAGAGAGAGCCAGAGATTTTTGTAAGGAGCAAAGAGCAGCGCGGGGAGGAAGAAGAAAAGAAACGAGAAGGAGAAAGAGAAGGCACATAGTCTTTTAATGAATTGGGAAGAACAGAGAGCAGCGCGGGGAAGGAAGAAGAAAAGAAAGGAGAAGGAGAAAGAGAAGGCACGAAGTCTAATAACACCGTTGAGCAAAAAAGTGTCAGTGAGTTTTTTGTCAGGTATCGTGGACCTTTGCCCAACGGCTTAGTATACTTTGCCCGACGAACTATAAGCCGATGAAGTGAAAATTCGTCGAGCAAATGGTGACACAATACACACCAATTTTTACCCCTTGACGCCAAAATATTGCCCAAAGAAATTTACTTTACATTGCGATTTTTTTTCATCGCGCAAAGCCTTTGACAAAAACCTAAACGTTGACCACGTTTGGTCGACTAAAGTTTTTTTTGTCGGATAAAGTATATTGACCCAATGAATATTGATTTGTCGGGCAAACTTTCGTCAAGCAAATGGTAATTTCTGATAATGACTTTTCTATTATTTACTCTTTGTTCGATAAAAATATGGTTTTTATAAATACACTTTGCAATTCAGTTGGTGGGAAAGGAGTTTGGTCAAATGTAAATTTTTACGTTATGTAGTTGTCTTGGCAAATTTGTAACATCTTTTATTCCTTTGAATAAAATAATACTCTGAATTTGTAATCAGTTTGTTCCTTTTTTTCGCGTATGTAGCCGTCTTGAGGAAAACTGCATGAAATGAAATTTTAGACTACAACTTAAGTAATTACCTGGCAGACTGATAATTTAGCCCTAAACCCTAATGCATATAGATGCGTAGTATAATTAAAAGCCAGCTAGAGAGATAAAGGGTAGGAAAAGAATCCAAGTAAGGCTATTTTCGTAAAAGAGCCATATACAAACTGTCTATAAATACTCATGCTTCAAGGAAACTCAGAAATAACAATACCTCTCTTTGATCTAAGAAGACATAAAGCGTAAAATAAAGATGAAGAGAAGTAGAAATTCATCTACTCTCCTTTTTTTATTTTTGATTGTCTGTGTCACATTTTCTATAGTTTCAATTGACGCAAGAACTCATCACAACAAGAAGAGCAAGCCACATAATGAACATCATAAAGGGAAGGGTGGCAGTCATAAATCACATTTGCCTGGCCCTGCTCCAGCCCCTCTTCCTCCCTCTGGTTCTCGAACAACTTTCCCCGTCCTGTCATTCGGAGCCAAGGGTGATGGAGTCTCCGATGATTCAAAGGTAAAACAATAATGGAAAGTGTACACGTGTTTGCATAACTGCATTGTGTGTGTTTGTTTTGGAGAGCCAGAGAGAATAACATATTGTCTAATTATCTTGAGCTAATGCCACCTAATATGCAGGCACTCTTAGCAGCATGGAAAGCTGCCTGCAGGGTTAAAGGGGCAACTGTCGAAATCCCATCAGGATTCAAGTTCCTCGTCCACCCCGTAACACTTGAAGGCGCGTGTATGCCTGACCTTGTTCTTCAGGTTTATTAATTTTCTCTCTTCTTTTATCACTTTATCACCATATTCTTCTATATTACGAAATAATTAAATAAATGGAAAAATGTAAAAAGGACATGCTTTTCTGATTTTCTCCAAGTTAAAAATGTTAAATATGCAAACATAATTAATTTGTTAATTTGGAATTCCAACAGATAGATGGAACTCTCTTGGCTCCATCAAAAGTAGGTTCCTGGCCAGATTCCGGTTTGTTACAATGGATAAACTTAAAATACGTCCATAACTTCACCATCCAGGGCACTGGTAGTGTTGATGGCCAGGGCTTTGACTGGTGGAGCAAGTCCAACCACATCCCGAAATCGAAACCCACTGTAATTATTTTTTCTCTTGTTTTCTAATTATTTTCTTAATCATGATTTAATTAACTTGATGACATGCATGCATTATAATTCCCTGCAAGCGCTTTCCATAATATTTCTTCATTGCATGCAGGCTTTAAGATTTTATTCAGGCTTTGACGTCACAGTTCGCGATATCAAAATCTTAAACAGTCCTCAGTGCCATCTAAAATTTGACAACTCTGCGTCGATCAAAGTTGACAACATTACCATAACTTCACCAGAGAATAGCCCAAACACTGACGGCATTCACTTGCAAAACACCAAAAATGTGGAAATTCAGCATTCTACTATTGGCTGTGGTAAGAATTAACAATCAGGCCATAATATATACGTGATCATAAATTACTCCCTCCTTTCTTTTTGTCGTTTACATGAGAGTTATTACTGACACTCCAAAAAATTTATGAGCATTTCAAATTTATGAAACACAAGAGGAAAATTTGTACATATATATATAAAAGAGTGCATTCATATTTTTGAAAGGTCAATAGCAACACAATTTTTTTTTTTCCTTAAAACCAGTCAGTTCCTAGTGCCTAGATGGTGCAGTGCACACTTGAAAGTATAGGTAGGTGGTACGAGGAAGAAAATTTTGAAAAATTTTCATGGTGGCTAAAAAAAGTATTTTAAACGGTAAACTGCCACTGAAGCCAGGAGGGAATGCAGAATTAGGGAAAAAAATAGCGCAACTTGCCGACTGGACTTTTTAAAATCTCTGGCTACTCTGCGGGACTGATCGAACTCCACTTTATAATATTAAATACTTTTAAATTCGTGTGTTTAATTTCTACTTTTAATTTCAACAGGAGATGACTGTGTGTCCATACAAACAGGCTGCGATAATGTTCATGTTCATCATATTAAATGTGGCCCTGGCCATGGCATAAGGTATGTCGTAATGCATTGTCGATCACCAATTTTATTATTTAATATCAAATTTAAAAATTAATTATGATCCCTTTTCAATTTTAATTATTTTTAATTTTTGTAGTACGTATGAGTTTTTTTCGAATTATTATTATCTTGGTGATGCATCAATTTATTATTTCTTTTTGTTCTTACAGTCTAGGAGGACTTGGAGGAAACCAAAGTACAGCATGTGTCTCAAACATTATTGTGAACGACATTTCATTCAACAACACTCAATTAGGAGTTAGGATCAAGACTTGGCCGGTATATAAATACATAATATATATATATATATTAAACCTAATTATATGTTCTTACTAGAATAGTTTCAATTAAACCATGTATATTCTATGTTACGCAGATGAATTCGATTCAGCTAATTAAATCCTTGATTTTTACAGGGCGGACGGGGATCTGTGAAGAATGTATCATTTTCGAATATCGAGGTTTCCAATGTGGGCAAACCTATCGTGATAGACCAGAACTATTGTGACAAAAAATTAAAAAAAATTATGTGCAAGAAAAACCATAGAGGAGCTGTAGCAATCTCAGGTGTTAAATACGAACGGATTACCGGGAATTATACACAGCAGCCTATTCTTCTAAATTGTAGCAGTGACACTCCATGCACAGATGTGGACCTTATTGATATTCAGCTCAAGCCAATATCTGAGAAGCTGAGGTCATCACCTGGACGTGATTGGTGTCAAAACTCTTACGGGAAGACAAAAGCTCCATTGGTTCCTTCAAGCATAGACTACTGCTTGGGAAGAGATGGGAGTCCACTACTCAAGAATATAGCAAAGTCACACGAGAAGAATATTATGTGTTAGAAAAATTTATTGAATATTTTAGTGCATCTCTTCCTTGATAGCTTCCATTCTACAAAAATATATTTAGTGATTGAATGTGATGGTGTTAGCTTATGTCGTCTTTGTAATGTAATAATCAGTTTGTAAACTTTGTATTACGAATAAAAGCAAATAATGTGATACGTATTAGCATGGTCTTTCATTCATCTGCTAAAAATACAGGTTTTAAGATTAAATTTATGAATTGGATAATGCTTGTGTCCCTCCCGTGATTAACAAACATTTACCATCCGAACATCATAATCAGTATTGTTCATTCTCTTTATATGCAAAAAATTATTCAATTTGGAGATCTTAATTATGCATAAAACAAATGGGCGGTTCATCATGAGAATGTCACTTTTTATCAAAATCGTTAATTGGTTTAACATGTATGAATGACTAAATGATCTACAAATTGAAGGATTTTTTGCATATATGATATTTAGATGATGATAAAGAGTATAAACGGTTCCGAATATGATGTTTTGATGGTAAACGTTTGTTAATTGTAAGTGGGGGACAAGTAAGTCTCACCAAGAGAACACAAGCATTATCCTTATGAATTTTCTCTTAATCTCACAAAATTACAACAAAGGTTTGTGATGGTAAACTTGTAGTACTTTATTTTCTCCACATTGGCGGAATTTATAGGAGAACCAAAGTACAATAAATATAATTAGAAAACAAATCTAAACAATAACCTAAAATACAAGTAAGATCAGTACTAAGAAATAACTCAAAACAAGTTTAACCCACAAAAACAAGAAAATCGAGACCTTAAAAGACTCAAAGACTCAAAGGTTTTGTATGAAATACCCTGGGTTGATTCTCTTTCGGTATAGTAAATATAACCTGATGTTGTCTCAATTATTTAAATTTGTGCTCACTTTAAATCATCTATTCTGATCACTCGTTATTTTACTAACAAAAGTGTCCATATTTTAAAACCCCGACCCGTTTGAGTGGGTCTGACTTAGCTTTTGAGTTGGATGGATGGTAATGTTTAAACTTTAAGGTGTTTGTGAGGGAGTTTTGGTGGAGGTAGTGGAAGAGAAGGTGGGTGATCATACCGTCCAACGCAGGCTTTAGGGGGCCTCAACGCACGCGCATGGCCTAAGAAATTTTACATAAACAAATAAAGATGATGTGGTGCCTGTTTCTTTAGGGTAAATAATCATGCACGTACTGTCTGTCTACTCCTTTTTTTATGTCTTTGAATATTTGATCATTCCTTATTAGTATTGGTTAACTCAGTCCAAATCTGCAGAGCCAGCCTGTGACAACGTCGTTATTTTAACATCTTTTCACACACTCAACGCCACACATAACATTGTTAACTTTCTACAAATTTTCTTTAAAAATAAATGGGGCGTTTTGATATAGGCGCCTCATTTTTTAATTTTTTAGATTAAATATACACTCATTTTGAAAATTTGATCTAACATTTTCCAAAAATTTTGGTTATTAATTTCTGTTTTTCACATAAGTTCAATTTTGTTTATAATTTTACTTTTTCACGACTTCTCTTGGACATTTTGTTTTCTTTTTTTCTTCCTTTCCTATTATCCTATATTTGTGCATTTATTATCCATCTCTATGCATTTTTTTATCGTTTGTTATAATTTTTACTTTTTTTTGTGAATATAGTAGAATATTTATTAAAAAAATTGTTAGATTTTATTATTTAGAAGACCCAACACATAATAAAGATTTGTTTGATTATATAGCTACGTCTAGTTACCTATAATATGGACACATTTAGTTTTATAGTGGATTTGATTTTTTGTGTTTCTCGGTACATTTGGAATGTAAATGTACCAAAAATGGTTATCTGATAGAGACATTTGGTTTTGCGGTACATTTGAGATTTTTTGTTCGTTTGGTCTTTTGGTACATTTAGAATCTAAATGTACCAAAAGGGTTGCCTGCCAATGGGCACATTTGATTTTATGGTACATTTGAAATCTAAACGTATCAAAAGTCGATACTTTTGTTCTCAAATGTACCATAAGTTTTAAGTATATTTTTTATATATCTATACCTGAAAAAAAAGATGTATTGAAGACTTTTTATTGAGACATTTTTAATAGAAGGATATTTTTTTTTAAATATTGATAATAAGGAAATGAGGAATTAGTTAATTAATTTTTTATTTTATTTTATTAAAAAAATATCATTTAATGCGTAGAAGGGAATTGATGAAATTAAATTCCTATATTATAGGCAATTAGTTGCTAAGTTACCTTATGCCTCTATATAAATGCATTTAAATTAATGACATGAAAATAAATAAATAGAAAATTATTGAGGTGGCAATTGATCAAAGTATCTTAATCAAATCTTTAAAAGGAATGAATGTTTAATCTAACAACTGTAGAAAAGATGTACGACATTCTAATTTTCCCAAAATAAATAAACTTAATGAGATATAGCAAAAATTAAACAGCCACCAAAACTCCTCATCCCAAAACCCGTCAACCGCCCCAATCTCAAGCAGCAATCCTTACTCGCCCCGCCTAAAAATCACCCGATCATCAACCTCTTTTTCTCTTTCTCCCTCACCAAATCCAGATTTAAGAAACCCGTAAACCCACTCCCACCTATCAACAAGAAAACCAAACTCCTAAATTTAGATGTCGGACCAGTTTATAAATTTGATTTAAAAAATTAGTTTATCTAACATTACTCATTTATCAATTCATCAACATTCATTTATTGATCCAGTAACTTAAAAGAACGCTTCCCTCACTTAAATATCATGTAAATTAGTAATATGAATTACGTGACAATTTGATAATTAAAAAAAAATCACTTACATGTTCTCACCATAGTACATGTTTTTCCATATCGCCAAGAAAATGAAAATACAGTGTTTTTTGGTAATTACGGGAAAACATGTAAGATGGTGATCGGTTGCAAATGGATGGGAAAACAAAATCAAAATGGGGTTGATTACCATGTTGCATGCTCAGTTATATATAATTTACGTGGGTTTTTTTGTTTTTATGTTGTCAAATTATATATATATATATATATATATGTGTGTGTGTGTGTGTGGTTGAACTAATGCAAAAATAACCAAGCAGATCATGCGTACAAATTGGCCCTTCAATTAATTCTTGAAAAAATGTTGTATGTTAACCAGCAGGATTATGTGCCCTGTCAGATGTGATGTTACAAATTGATTACTAAAATGCGTCTTAGGTTTAGGGTTGTATGTCCTATAAGTATGGATGAAATTAATAAATTGATATTATATCAGCATATCACCTGTTATAACGGTCAGGCAGGCATGAGCTTCAAGAAGTTCACCTCTTTGTCACTGGTCTTTCTTGCATCGGCCAGCTTCCACTCAAGCCAAGCTCAAGGAGCTGGGGGCAACCTATGCGCCGGAGCTGACCACGCAGCCCGCTGCTGCTCGGTTGTGGGAAGAGCGAAAGCCCCATGTGCCGTCATGGAAACAATCGTCAACCGACTGATTTGTGAGGCAAAGCAAGCAAAAACTTCTGCTACTAGGCTTCCCCCCGAGGACCCTCCAATTTTCAAAGAAACCTTGAAAACTATTTGTGTTTCCATTCTTTGTCGGGCAGTGGGATTTACCCAATATTCTTCATTCCAAACAATCAAAGATTAATGTTTGTTGACGTTATGTGCACGTTATCATAAAAACAAAATTAGTTTTCATATCATCGTCCAACGTAACACCCCTGAGCAAAAAAATTTCCAACGTAATGCGTCGATGATGTACAATATTTGAACTCACTTTATCATATACCATCATCAAATAAATAAATAGCAAATTAAAGTCGAGAACTACACATTAAGCAACAAAGTGCTCCAAAGTGTTGGGAATCTAGAAGATCTTTCACGAAACTTGGGCTTAGGCTGAAGTAGTAAAGGGAAGGCTCAAATCTCTCTCAACCCAAATGCCATATACATGAAGCCCAGTTTAGTAATGGGCACAACCTAGGCCTATATTGCATGCCAGAAGGTTCACACGCCCAACAGAAGCCCACATTGCATGATAATTCCAGGCTTCCAGCTGCGTCAAAGATCAGACCAGTGTACAGTGCACTACCGAGCAACTCAGAAACATCAAATTCTTTGCCAAATGGGCACTCACCAAATTGTAAAATTCTCGTCTTGTAGCCAAGAACGGGAAAGTTTCAGATCAAATCACAACTTTCTAGTCCCCATGTTCTTAGCAAATATGGAAACACATATAACATGGAACATTGCAAGTAATTATTACCATGTGGGATGGATTAGCCTGCATATGGGAGAACTTAACCATATATGGTTGGACCAATGCCAAACATGGAGTTTTGAATTTGGGAGTGAAATTTGTCAAAATTTAGAGATTTATTAGTGACTCTCAACCTATTCTTATGAACACCGATATTATTTCAAACTTGCAATTAACTATGTGCTAAAAGTAGTAGGTTTGAGGTTTTATCGCAACTTCCAGTCTTACTAGTAGTAGAAACATGACTCATATATTGAAGTTTATTTTATTCTCTAATGCAAGATTTTACATTCTTCAACGAAAGCAAGATTATCGATCAATGTTTTGTAAGAGCAAGCGATTTTCACAGATTTTTTTCTTCATTACACACTGTTAAATTTTTTTATTTTTTATAATTTGGTTGAATGAACCAAAAGAAAAAACATCATACATAAATGAATCAAACATAAATAAATCAGAGTGTGTATAAAGAAAAAAGAGGCGTGTGAAATCATTTCTATTTTGCAAATGGACATGTGGCATCACCTTTGACAAAGTGAAAACATATGTAGATCATCTTTCGTCGAAAGACAAATGAATTACTCTAACCAACTAACCTAATTTATGCATGCTTTTCATGACATCTTCTAACTCCTGTAGATCTGAATGCACACCACAAGCTTCCAGCTAAGGAGCTTATGGCCAAAAGTGATTTGCTTGCTTGTGTGGTTAGGCAAAGGTGATGTCGATCTCAATTTCAGCGAATTATCACATGTCTCCAAAGTCCAAAAGCACCCGTTTTTCCATGTGTACTTGCCAACTTTACATTGTTTTAGTCGAGATGTTAAAGCTAGCTTAATTTCATCGGTTCCTTGCGTTATCTTTACACTATTCTTCATTTTTCGTTATATTATCGTACTGAAAAATGATAATTTATTTTATCGCCTTATATTTTTCTGGATGTGAATATTTTAAATTCCACACTAATAAAAACAAAAAGAAAAAAAGAAAAAAAAAGAAAAAGTAATGGCAGATATTTAAGAGCGACCTTTTTATTTTTTTTTTGTTTGAGAAGACCGACCTCTTTGTATTAAAAAATCTTGCCTTCCCTGTATTATAATCCAAGTGCTTTGGATCTATCAATAAGTGCAGAGTGGAGTGTGTGTGGCGTCTGGACTGCATCTAGAATTGCCTCGATTGAACAGAAACGGGACACTTGCAACTTGACAATGTGGGGTCGCACCAAATCAACATTGACAATGCGAGGAGGTCTTATAATGCGTGACAGGTGCAGCGGACGAAAAATACTTACATGAAATGAATTTATTACTGACGATTTGTTTTAATAATATAAGAGTATGTGCTAGTTTTTGTTTACATGTCTTTAATTTATTGGTATTAAATGCCACTATGACGGTAAATATGTGTCTTACAAGTCGTTGTCATGTGAATGTTATTATAAAAGACTTTGATGTAATTAGAAATGAATGAATACACTCATTATATATAGTCTAAAAAGTATTTTGATTACCAAAAGCGTTATTGATCATATTGACATAAAAAGTTAAAAATAATTTAGGGCTAGTTACATGTTCTTCAAGACTTCCAAGTACTTTTCCAAGAATACTTAACTTCTTTTATATTAAAAATGTCAATATCTTTCCAACAAAAACACTTTTAGTAGAAGCGCTTTCAACAACAACAATTCCGAACGAGTTTTTAGTTTCTATTTCTTACACGCAAGGAGTGAAATTTGATTAGGAGAGCTTGAACAATGACCAGATTACATGTTTGCCGTCTCTTGAGATATGAAACCCCAAATGTTTTTATCGCTTACCTCATTGATTTGCAAATTTTCAATGTCGACCACATTTTGATCATTGCGATCCCCAGTTATTCAACTTAAACGGTTAGATCAAATCTAACGGTCAAATTAGACAGGCGAGAAAAATCTTGGATTCTTTGTTCCGTCCATACGAGAATCAAAAGGCGAAAGAAGTTAAAACTGAAAATCCAAGTAAAATCAATGGCAAAATGGTCGAGCAGTCACCTCTCCGATTCAACTCAACAAAAGGACAGGAAGGAGAAGAAGTCGCACGTGACAATCTCCCCAATCTCCTCCGAGCTTTTTCGAAACTGTGGCCACGCGTCCACGGCCGGAGATAGAGCGCCATGTCACTTACGTAGACTCGCTCTCCTATTCCACACAAACTGCTTGCAAATCAGAAATCACTCCCTCCCACCAATCGCAAGATCTCGCGGACTGGCTTTAAACCAAAGCCTTCGTCTTGGAGCTCTCCCCATCTTTCACTTTCTCTCTCCTCGTACTTCACTCCCCCCCCTCCTCTCTCTCTAGAATCTGATCGTATATTCATTCTCTCTTTCTCTGTACAGGCTCGGAACTTGGAATCAATTTCCCGGGGTAAGCTTCTACAGTTCAACAATTTCAAGTTCAATTTTTGCAAACCATTTGATCGTATTAATTTGTGGGATTTTACTTGCATTTACTGTTCTTAGATTCTAGATGTTTCGGAGCTATGAATGAGTGGAAATGTTGCAGTGAATCGGCGATGTTGTTTTTAGCTCAAATTTTCTACGATTTTCTGTTTGTTTCTCGAGAAATTTTTCGTAAGAGGAAGAAAAGATGTGCGGCGCTTGAAATTTTGAAATCCTTTTGCTTTGAGAAACAGTGAAAGTGAAAAGGTATTAGCTTTGATGAGAGTGATAGGTGTAATCCAACAAGAGGCGAGCAAAGTAATTTCCTTTTTCTTTCATCTTCCTCAGCTTTCTCGGCAAGCAAACACAGAATTAGTAAAAATTACATCTTTTATGTATGTGTGTAAGAAGATTATGCCTAATTTGGTTGATATATGTATGAAATACTTTATCTCTGCTTTTGATGGATGCTTTTACTGTGTTTTGATTCGTCGGTTTCTTCAGAATTGAGGAGCGTGTCAACGAATATGAGCAATTCCGTAGGCCATAACTTGCTCAATCAGAGCTTGTTTCAAAGCAAGATAAATTCTTCTGGTATTCCTACCAACACATTGTTTCAAGCTAAGAGCGTCCACCAAGTGACAGCTCAGGCGCGAAAATCACCCATATCCAAGAAATTCTGTGGGAACACTTTGAACGTTCAGAAACCGACGTTAGCCATGGGGTCACGCTGCCCCGTTACAGCTATTCCTCGTGCCGTATTAACCACTGATCCGCCTTCCAATGTAAGTAAATTTATCGGAAAACCTAATAGAAAATGGCTTGATAATGCTAGGGTGAGAGAGGTGTCGTGATGGAGATTTGCTAAGATTTGGAATTAAGTTTAGAATCGATTGACTGCTTCAAATCTGTCTGGGTGGTTTGCCTGGACATGGACTAATGTTAACTAAATTCTTCCTCGTAGCAGCAGCTTGCTGGAAAATTCAATCTCGATGGGAATATTGAAATGCAGGTACATGTAGTGTAACTGTTAGGTGCTTAGACCAATGTTATATATTTGGATGAGTTTTGTTCAGTTCAGCTCAGCTAAGATATGCATGGGGAGCTATACTAACAGAAACCATACGTAATTGGGCAGGTTTATGTGAATCCTTCCACACCGGGATCTGCCACTCAAGTAGATATCCGTGTAGCATATAGCGGTGACTCTTTGACTCTTCACTGGGGTGGGATAAAAGATAGAAAAGAGTAAGTTTCCCTGTAATTGCTTCTTTTGTTGAGTCTGATGCTCAAGATTTCTACCCTAAGATGATAAAATCTGAGATGTCTTCTTTCTTTTGTCATTTACTGTTTACAGAAAATGGGTGTTTCCATCTCGTCACCCAGATGGAACCAAAGTATATAAAAACAAAGCTCTTAGAACACCTTTTGTGAATGTAAGGTTTTTAAAGCACAACATATATTCCTCAACAAATATCTCCCATTTGGTTAAGATATTGTGCTAAATGAAGTTTTATTTGTTGATCAATTGTTTTCTCTAGTCCGGCTCCAGTTCCTTGCTTCAAATTGAGATTGATGATCCTACAATACAAGCAATCGAATTTCTTTTAGTTGATGAAAGCCAGAACAGATGGTAAGATTTCATTGGTTGTTTTTTTTCTTGGCCTAATAACTTAGATCTATCTAAACAGGCCAGATGAGTTTTGTTCTTCCTTAATGTTCTTTGGTAGGTTTAAGAACAGTGGTGATAACTTTCATGTTAAGTTACCTGCAAAAGAGAAGTTGATATCCAATGCTTCAGTTCCTGAAGAGCTTGTACAAATTCAAGCATATTTGAGGTGGGAAAGAAAGGGTAAACAGATGTATACACCAGAGCAAGAAAAGGCATGTGAATTTTGCTCTATAATTTTATAAATCTCGTATTATCATTGTTACAGCATCTCAAACTACATTCGCTATTTCCTTTGTCCTTTTTACTCCCACGGGAATAAAAAAACACCAGACCAAGAGAAAGCATGTAAACTGTAATTTGATGCTATAGAAATTCTGGCTAGTGAAATTTCACTAGTCATTTAAGGTCTCTTGTTGAACACTGGACAAGACAAACTTTTTGGTTTGATTTAAAGACTTTTTATGCTATTTTGGTTTGCTTTTAATAAATATTTAGTGTTTGTAGGTGGAGTACGAAGCAGCCCGAACTGAGTTATTGGAGGAAGTAGCTAGGGGTACTTCCATACAAGAGCTCCAAGCAAGGTTGACCAAGAAAAATGATGGTGGTAAGATTGAAGAGCCATCTGGTTCTGATACAAAGGCTGCAAAAAAATCTGAAAGCAAAAAGGTTTTTAGAACCGAGAGAATTCAACGCAAGAGGAGGGACTTAACGCGGATTATCAACAAACATGCTACTAAACCTGTTGATGAAGCTAAATTTGTAGATGAAGAACATCCAGCCAAACCAAAACCCTTGACAGCAGTTGAGCTTTTCGCCAAGGAAAAGGAAGAACAGGATGGAGGTTCTATTCTGAGGAAAAACATCTTCAAGATCAATGATAAGGAACTTCTGGTGAGACAATTATGTGCTTTGGTTCTTGATTCGTCTGCTTTTCTAGAGACTAAACTAATTTTAGAATCCTGAAATATTTATAAGGTACTTGTAACCAAGCCTGCTGGGAAGACAAAGGTTCATCTGGCAACAGATTTCAAAGAGCCACTTACCCTTCACTGGGCTTTATCTGCAAGCAAGGCTGGAGAGTGGTCGGTAATATTTTGAATTCTTTTAACTGAAATAATGGTATTCGTATGCTTGCTTTCTTTAAATTCTCTCTCGGACATTTTCAAATTTCCATGCATTGCTTGTTAGTCGCAGAGCATGAAATAGTAAAGTAAGCTACATTGGCATTTTCAGGAACCACCTGCAAATACACATCCCCAGGGTTCAGTTGCTCTAAATGGGGCTGTTGAAACACAATTTAGACCAAGTTCCACTGACTCTGCTTATGAGGTATAACACAAGAGAACATGGATTGATCCGTGTGCCTGGGAACTTTATACTAGCTCATATATTCAAGATCTTTAGACAATTGTCTTGGTCCTCACAGTAACTTTACAGGTTCAATCTATAGAAATAGAAATTGAAGGAGAGAGTTTTAAAGGAATGCCGTTTGTCCTTAATGCTTCTGGGAACTGGATGAAGAATCAAGGCTCCGATTTCTATGTTGACTTTGGCGTCGAACGCAAGAAAGCTCAGAAGGTTGCTCCTTGTTTTGGTCATAATCTGTTTTTCTGTGACTGCCTATTCTTGATTCTCCTCAAGGTTCCATTTTCTTTACAAGTTTAGTTTCTGAACTTTTCGCATTCAAGGATACTGGTGATGGCAAAGGTACTGCAAAGGCTTTGTTGGATAAAATAGCCGACCAGGAGAGTGAGGCACAGAAATCCTTTATGCATCGGTCAGTATTCCCTTGGGAATTCGATAAATTATAGTTTCACTGACTTGGTCATTTCTTATTCCATCTTATGCCATTCTGCTATATTTGTCCCGGTATATTTTTTTGATAATTAATTACAACTTTAGATTTTTCAGTCATGCCCTTCGCATTTTGTGAATTAGAATATTTTGAATCATCTTCAAAATGAATTTTATTTGATTTTCTTTACTAAATCTCGTATTTTCCTTTTCTCAGATTTAACATTGCAGCAGACTTGGTCAATCAAGCAAAAGATGCTGGTGAATTAGGTCTTGCAGGTATATTGGTGTGGATGAGGTTTATGGCTACGAGGCAGCTCATTTGGAATAAAAATTACAATGTGAAACCACGGTACAATTCTTTTGATCTCTACTGTATGATTTTAATACTTTATTTTTTGGGCCACATGGACGTGGAGATGTGGGGATATCGTCTTAAATGGCTCTTATGTATTGATAGTTACAGGGACAGGCCGGGTCCAGTTTCTAGAATTTCTGTTACTCTGCACCCCTCACTCCTCGCAAAACGCTAAACCTGTGTGTTCTTATTTTTCTTGTGGTGCAGTGAGATTAGTAAAGCACAGGACAGGCTCACGGACTTGCTCCAGAATGTTTATGCAAATTATCCACAGTATCGCGAACTTCTACGGATGATCTTGTCTACCGTTGGCCGTGGAGGAGAAGGGGATGTGGGACAGCGAATTCGAGATGAGATCCTTGTTATCCAGGTGGAAAATATTATGTTTGCTTTTGTGTATGTGGTCTAATATTCACGTCCCTCATTTCTGGACAAGTTTTTGAATTTGTATAATTTTTTGGATGATGTCAGAGAAAAAATAATTGCAAAGGTGGAATGATGGAGGAATGGCATCAAAAGTTGCATAATAACACAAGTCCAGATGATGTTGTTATTTGTCAGGTATAGGTGTCAGAGCTTGCCTATTCAGTGGTTTTTTATTTGAAAATTTATCTTGATAGTTGTCACTTGTCATTGCAGGCATTAATAGATTACATAAAAAATGACTTTGATATTGGTGTTTACTGGAAAACTTTGAATGAGAATGGAATCACAAAAGAACGTCTCCTGAGCTACGATCGTGCAATCCGTAATGAACCAAATTTCAGGAGAGATCAGAAAGATGGTCTTCTGCGTGATCTGGGGCACTACATGAGAACTTTGAAGGTTTGATTTCCTAAACCTTTCAGGTTTTATGTTTGACAAATTTGTTTTAATAGTATACATTATACATCTGCATCACATAATTTTGATCATGGCTTATTGAATCCATCAGGAAGATTTTGTCGTTTTGTACATTGTATGGTAGACTGGTAGTACACCTATTCTTTCAGTTGCTTCCTCGAAAAGGGATGGTGGATTGTGACCATGTCCGTGAACTATTCTATAACATTAATGATATTCTAGTCTGTTGCTGTGTTGTGAGAGATGCATATCATAGGAGGAATTTCATGATGCATACTTCGCCCTTCTATGATGATGAGAAGAGATGTTGAGAAATTTTAGTTTCTGGTTCTGTGGACATCATTTGACTCCTATTGCTTGCCATGTAATATGTTGTAGCTTGCTTGCCTGCCAATTTTGACCAATAAATATTCACATGCAGGCTGTTCATTCAGGTGCAGATCTTGAGTCTGCCATTCAAAATTGTATGGGCTACAAAGATGAGGTAATATCAATAATTAGTCAGAGTATCTCAACATAATGTATCGTTACTTGCTAGCAATGACACACCTTTTAATTCTCTTCAGGGTCAAGGATTCATGGTTGGAGTACAAATAAATCCTATATCCGGCTTGCCATCTGAAGTTCCAGTAATGCTCTCAACTTGATTTCAAATTCTTATGATGGGTGAATTAAATAAGATAACTAATAAGAAGTTGCACAACGACATTTATTTGAATCAGGACCTCCTGCGATTTGTACTAGAACATGTTGAGGACAAGAATGTGGAAGTCCTTATTGAGGTTTGTGGAACTTTGACACTGGCAATTATTTTTCCAGCTTTCTGTTGCGTTCTCACCGTGATAAATTTCAATGTTCTTTTTAATTTTAATTCAGGGTTTGCTTGAGGCGCGCCAGGCGCTTTGGCCATTGCTCTCTAAGCCTCATGATCGTCTGAGGGATCTTTTATTTTTAGACATTGCCCTTGATTCTACTGTTAGGACCGCAATTGAGAGGGGATATGAAGAACTGAATAATGCTGGACCAGAGGTATATTTACTCTCTAAGCAGTTAACTACATGTCTGAGAAGTAATCTAGTTTACCTTTTCTCTGTTTTCTTCTTCACCAATGTCGCAATGATTTTGAGTCTAATATGACTGGTTTTAATCTTATACTCTCAAGTTTATTTTCTTGATCAACTGAGTTATGCATTATGCAGAAAATTATGTACTTCATCTCCTTAGTTTTAGAAAACCTGGCCCTATCATCAGACGATAACGAAGATCTCATTTACTGTTTGAAGGTAAATCTGATATATATATATATATATTTTTTTTTTTTTTCCTTATTCTTCTTATTTTCTTTCATAAGAATTCAAGGCAATTTGAAGAATAGGATAAAAATTGGGACTTCTCCCTTTTGGTTTACATTTCCAAGATGCTGGCTTAATATTTGATTTCTTCCCTTTTTTTTATGAAGGGATGGGATCAGGCTCAAAACATGTTAAAAAGTAAAAGCAATGACTGGGCATTATATTCAAAATCAATCCTAGACAGAACCCGCCTTGCACTTGCAAACAAGGCAGAATCGTATCACAGAATTTTACAGCCATCAGCAGAATACCTCGGAGCACAGCTTGGAGTGGACCAATGGGCTGTATGTATTATCTATCTTCAAACCAAAGTGCTTTGTTACATATTATGCATCACATATCTTCCCTTTCTTTGCTCATAATTATTTCTTGCAGGTGAACATATTTACTGAAGAAATAATCCGTGCTGGATCAGCTGCATCTTTATCCTCACTTCTGAATCGGCTTGATCCGGTTCTTCGAAAGACTGCTAATATGGGCAGGTTGATTGTGCTGCTATCGTTTAGTCAGTCATATCATGTTTAATCGCATATATTTAGAAATTTTTTAATGATTTTACTTTTTAGAAAGGAATACACTAAAAAGGTTTAACGTCTACATTCTCAACATCCATCACTCACATGCTGCGATAATTTTCTGATGATACTTTGGTTTTCCTCGACAGTTGGCAGGTTATCAGCCCAGTTGAAGTTGTTGGATATGTGGTCTATGTGGATGAATTGCTCACTGTTCAGAATAAAGTTTACAGCAAGCCCACAATTTTGGTGGCAAAAAGTGTAAAAGGTGAGGAAGAAATTCCAGATGGCACTGTTGCTGTTCTGACACCAGATATGCCAGACGTCCTATCTCATGTCTCTGTCCGTGCAAGAAATAGCAAGGTAATAGCTTATCAATCATATTTTTCTTTTCTGTATGATTGAAATGTTTGGTGAAATGACTAACTTATTATTTGCAGGTTTGTTTTGCGACATGCTTTGACCCCAATATTCTGGCCGACCTCCGAGCTAGTGAAGGGAAGTTATTACGTCTAAAGCCAACACCTGCTGATATAGTTTATAGGTACCTTTTCTTTTGTAGTTTGGTCTTGAAAAATGTTAATAAGCTATCTCCTGTTATGTGCTGACAAACTGTTTTCTGTTCACTCGATAGAAACTTCACTGCTTTGTGCCTTCCATTAATGAAAGACTCGGCTCTCAAATCATTTGGATGAACAAAAAATATACTGAAATACAATGTTTAATTCTTTTCATGTATAATTTCAGTGAGGTCAATGAGGGTGAGCTAGATGCAGATTCAACTGATTCAAAAGAAGACACTCCATCTCTGACATTGGTCAAGAAAAAATTTACTGGTAGATATGCCATATCATCTGATGAGTTCACAAGCGATATGGTAAGCTTGAAAAGTTTTTCAGCAGCTAAGGAGTTAGTTTCTTTTTCCTTTTTTTTCTTATTTCACAATTGACGGGGTTGGGCAAAATGTTTTCACAAATTAATAAAAGAAATTTCCTTAATATTGCTTCTATGGGGATTGCAGGTTGGAGCTAAATCACGTAATATTGCTTATGTAAAAGGAAAACTTCCGTCTTGGGTTGGAATTCCTACATCGGTTGCCCTACCATTTGGATCATTTGAAAAGGTTCTTTCAGAAGATTCAAACAAGGTTATCCTCACCTTAAACTTCTGTACCTTGTCATACACATATATGATGTATGCCACTGTGATGATCTACTATCCCTCGACCAGAACAACCTGAAGTTTTATTAACTTAATATGGTCTATCTTTGTTGGGACTTTCATAGTAGCTCAGTTGCTGTCTCTTGATTATGGTCAAATTTATCCAATCAAGTTCCATTATACGAGATATTGCTCCAGCCTGACTAACTTTATCTCTTTTCTGTCTGCTTATAGGCAGTGGCTGAAAAGTTGGAAACTCTAAAGAAAAAGTTGAAAGACGGAGATTTTGATTCGCTCAAGAAGATTCGGGAAACAGTTTTACAGCTGGCAGCACCGCCCCAGTTGGTAAGTTTTTCTACTAGCAGGCATCAAATGTTTTATTTTGTTTTATTTTCAAAATTATAACAGCTAATAGGTTTCAAAGAGTGCATTTTCCATTTCATAGTCTACAATCACCCGAACTCCTTAGGGGTGTGTTTCAATCTGTGAAGTTTCCTGTTACGGCATCCCATCAACTTTTTTCCAACGTAAACTGTTAAAAGAGTACACGAATATGTCATTTCTGATGTTTTGTAGACCTTGCATTCACGCTCGCATAAACTAAAGTTCAAGTGTTGATTAAATTTTTGCTACTGCGTCGTTGGCTTCTTTTCTTCTCTTGATATAACACAAAAACCAGTAATGCTACCTATGAGGGGAAAACTCTTATGGGGCCTACAGGCAGAATAATATAGTTTAAGTGAATGATACTAGCTTATGTGGTGAATTATTTTCAGGTGCAAGAGCTGAAGACTACAATGAAGGGGTCAGGAATGCCTTGGCCTGGTGATGAAGGTGAACAACGGTGGGAACAAGCATGGACGGCTATAAAAAAGGTAAAATCGCATTGCTGCATATGCCCAGAAAAAAAAAAAAAATTAGATTAAATCAATCCAGTGTTCTTAAATCCAATAGAGCTAAGAATTTAACCACCCCCGATGGTAGTGTTGAGGCAATCATAAGTAGTAATATATACGGGCCAGCAACCATTGTGAATCGACTCTCTTTGGTTCTCTAGTTATCTTTTCTACCTTGATATCAGTGCTAAGTATTAAGTTATGATAAATTGGGGCATTCTCATCTCTTATAATCCAGGTCTGGGCTTCAAAGTGGAACGAGAGAGCGTACTTCAGCACGAGAAAAGTGAAATTAGATCACGACTATCTTTGCATGGCTGTCCTTGTTCAGGAAATCATAAACGCTGACTATGCATTCGTTATTCACACAACTAACCCATCTTCAGGAGACTCATCAGAGATATATGCTGAGGTATTCGGTAGTGTTTACAAAAGATATATTTTCAACTAATATCAGAGACATTGATTTAGTTCGTTTTTCTGTGATAGGTTGTTAAGGGGCTTGGAGAAACCCTAGTTGGAGCTTATCCTGGACGCGCTCTAAGTTTTATTAGCAAAAAGAATGATCTGGACTCTCCTCAGGTAATACATTTTTGTGCATCTCTCACCAAACGTGGCATAAGAGTCCATCGAGGACAATGATTTCTGTTGATAATTTTCCATGGATTATGTAATTTGTGTAGTATTTGTCAAAAAACTTGTATACTGCAGAATAACGACTTGGTTATAGGCTTCCACCCTAAAAGTCCCGTCACAAACATGAAATTAGCGAATACGTATATTTTCTTTGGACCTTCCCTTGTTTTCACTCATGAGTACGTGGATATTTTTCAGGTGATAGGATACCCTAGCAAACCCATTGGCCTCTTTATAAAACGGTCTATAATCTTTCGATCTGATTCCAATGGTGAAGATCTCGAAGGTTATGCTGGTGCAGGTCTTTACGACAGGTAGACTCCTTAACATCTCTCCCAGGCGATCATTACTTACAGCCACATTGGTAGTCAGGCGTTTCATGTTTGCACAGATCACATATGCACTTAAAAAACCACACAAATCTTTTATGCATCTATTTTTATTGTCATTGATCTTATTTTGCTGTATGCTAATGACAGTGTACCTATGGATGAGGAAGAGAAAGTCGTGGTTGACTACTCATCTGACCCGCTGATGGTTGATGGAAACTTCCGCAAGACAATCCTCTCTAGCATTGCTCGTGCAGGAAGCGCAATCGAGGAACTGTATGGATCTCCACAAGACATTGAAGGTGTGATCAGGGACGGTAAACTCTATGTTGTCCAGACAAGACCCCAAATGTGATTCATATCTTTTGTATTCTTTCTACGATTTGTGTCATAGACATTGTTTACTGTAGAATGAGAATAAAAAACGAAACAAATAATGAGAAAAATTTGTATCTTCTGAGGCATGCCTGTTTACAAGAAGCAATATGCTTTCATTAGTTTTGTAAAATACTCCATTGACTCCATCAATTTATATATAAATAGAGGGGCATATTTTGTATTTACATTAAAAATGTCATTTTATTCTACATATTAGAAACCCCTTGCTGATTTCTGCGAGAAATTATGGGTCCTTGAAGTTTACTCCGATTTTCACTTTAGTTCTTGTAGTGTCATTTGTTTTCACTTTAATCTAATCAGTCATCTTCTCTTTTGAAGAACCCAATTTGACGGATTGGACAAAAGAACTACAAGAAAGTGAAAATCTTAGTAAATCCCGGGGCCTATTTGTACAATTTTAGCCATATTATTGTCAATAAATATGCAGATCTCTCAGCAGTGATTCCTGAGAGATCAATCCACACTTCATTTAAGCGCCCAGGAAGGTGACATGAAGCATTGTATTGAGCAATGGCATAAGAACTCTTAGCTTCCAGATTCGCTGGCTTTCTAGTTAAGTGCTTATTTAGGCTGTTCACAAGATCTTCAAATTCTTCGGAAAAATTGTCATCTTTGGCAAACCCTGGAAACTTTCTAATTGGTAACGTCACACGAGAAGAGAGATAAGAAAAAAAATTAAAGAGTGAGATATGAACATGAAAAATATACATTAGTGACGAGTAAACAAGCCCGATCCAAGCCGGGTTGGCTTGGGCTTGGATAGTGTTTTTCAAGTTGGGTTGGGCTCACTGACCCGTAACTAAGGTTAACAAATTTCCAACCTTATAAGCAGAAGTCCATATTATTCAGAGTTTGTACTGCTAAAGTGGGTAAAGGATTGAGCTCCTCTGTACTACATGCTTCTGTTCATAGCTTGAAACTCCATGTTTGCAGCTACATCATGATCAAACTACATGTGCAGGCGAATCAAGCCTCATAATCGTCGTGTTCTCTTCGTAGCAAGCAATCCGAAGAGACTCGCGTTACGATTATGTGCTCTGTTCGAGCTACACAATGATGACGCACATCATCACGATGTACTCGAGAGATGTATGGCCCCGTCATATGATGGCCAAAGCGTGCCATACAACAAAAAAAAGGAGTTGGTAGAGAAACATTCTTGTCCATCAATGGCTATATATGTTCCTTTACTAATTAGCTTTAATTTTAAGGATTAATTAAACTTGTACCGTCAGTATTTATCTTGGAAAGCTGACCATACTTGTTAGACAAAATCATTGCTCAGCATAACTGTTCCACGCTTGTCAAGCTTTATAAATCTTCTTTTTCCCACTTTCAAGTGCCTTTTTGTAATTGAAATACTATACACATCCACAGAGGCAAGAGCATGAATATTTTACTGTATATTCTGCTGAATTGAACCTTCATATACAACAATAGAGATTTTCTCAAAGTGAGATTCTTTATGAACTCTTTGTTATTTCACAGTTTAATGTCAATTTTTGTGCCAACAATATAAAACATTTTGCCAAAAACCTGAGATGGTAAAGAATCCATAGAAAGTCCCACTTTTAAGGACATTCTCTCAAAAGTGAGACTTTTCATGGACATTCTGACATCTTATGTTTTTTGCACAATGTTTTATAATGGTGGCACGGGAATTGACGTAAACTATGAGGTGACAGAGAGCTTATGGAGAGTTCCACTTTGAGAGAGTCCCCTTAGCATTTCTCTTATAATTTTTAAATTGAAGAGTAATGTTAGGTAGACTAAATTTGCAAACTAAATGATGTGTCACCAATTATATGAATCAACATTTACGTAATAATTCAATCATCAACTTTTATATCATGTATTTTACAAAATTTAGTTTATACATTTAGTCTTCCTAGCATTATCCTAAATTGAATATATCAAAGAAGAAAAAAAGTGTGAGCAATTCATTTCTTTAATAATGTTGTACGTATGTAAACTTTTGAAAGATATCAGTGGTGCCCGATGGTTCTAAATTCTTCATCGTTAATTCTACGAACTACCCACCATTCTTTTTCGTGACTCTATCCTTTATTTTGGGTGGTAAGGTTTGGTTTGAAGCATCAGAGAATATATACAGTGAACAATTTTTTCTTGTGATGCAAGATATATATAGCTGCTTGCCCGTACATAATTGGTTGGTTCCCATGAAAGATGGAGGAAAACAAAAATTGGAAAGATATGGAACTATAATAAAATGCTTCACATATTCTTAATGAACAAGTAAAGCATGATTTCATAAAGTTATTCTTTGAGGTGGTCTAGCTATATATACATATATATATATATATATATTCCACCTAACCCTACAATTTGATAAACATGCTTTTTTCAAGTGGGATCGGATAATTATGTGCAAAGGTAATCGAAGGAGCTTTTAGACTTTGAATTCAAGCCCCCCTCCCCTTCGATTCAGAAGATTGACCATATAAACTGAAGTCAAGGAATTACAACTAGCTAGGTCATCATGTTTCCTTGGGGAGGGTTTGATTACAATCACACCCATGCAGGGCCACTACTTCCCGCAAAATGTGGCTATGAAACTCCCAATTCTCTTTCAGATTTCTAAGCCGCTCAACTTGTTAAAGGTTTGTAAGAGAATCGAGAGACAAAAACACTCACCTTTGGTTAACCATAACAAGAAGTTGTTCATAGTAGTCATGGTGTCTCTTAACCCTTTTTATTCCAAATATTTTAGATGGATTTGAAGACCAATGAGTCTTTGGTCAATTCCATTACCCTTTTATTCAGAGTTTTGTTGTGTTTTAAACACTTACGAGATTGGAAGAATGTAGAATACAACACAAAATTTCAAATGTACAGTAAATACTGTTAATCAATATTCTCTTAGACGATATACAAATCATTCTACATTTTTTCTTTTGGTAATGAATAATTTAGGGAGTTTGAACAAACAACATACCACAATACCAACATTGTAACTAATGTAAATACACACTAAATTGGAAAAAAGAAAAAAATGGAAAAAATGGTAAGTTTGAAGTGACCTTAGACATGTCATGCAGCTCTTCTAGAGTCAATGCAAGAATACAGCAGCTGTGAGAAATGTCAAAAAGGTGAACTTTGGCTCCCATTCTGAGATGTCAAATAATATAATGCACACATAGTGGCCCCTTCTCTGATGAGCAAAAACATTCCTTTTCCTTTATCCAGATGCCTCATAGCCTCATACCGCCCATATCATTTCTTCCAATATAGAGACACCATCATTATATCTAGGTATATTGAAATCCGTTTAAAAAATAATAATAATTATATGGTTAATATATATGATAAGTATCCAGGACACATGTTTTTGAACTACATTTTGACATACGTTTTTGTGAGGCTTACTCTGTAATGTACTTTAACGATTTGAACCGTTCATATTTTAGGTATTCCTTTAAAGATCATGTCTACTAAAAATCACTCAAATCTAAAATCATACGACCCTTAGATTAAATTGGAATCGTATTAGTTTATTTTCTTCATTATAAATTAATGTTTTAATAGTTTTGGATTTGCCTAATTTTTTGCAAGAATGGTCTATAAATAATATACTAAAATATATACAGTTTGAATCGTTGATACACATTACGAAGTGAACCTTACAAATTATGTGAGTATTATATATATAATCTAGTCACTAGGGCCATCTAGAAATATGACAGTACGTAGTGTTAGATTATGAGTGCCCATACGCTGGAAACATTCCTCAATTTAGATTTATTTATGTTTAATATTTATCAGAGCAGTTCAGCTTTCTTCTCTGAGTCCGATGAAAAGGGAGACGCTGAATTCTATTGTATGATAGCATCACGTGGCTTCACAAGACACAGTAATTCTTCACTCCTCGCAGAATGAACTGGGATTTTTTTTTTTTGAAACATGAACTGGGATTATGTGTATATAATTTAAGATTATTTTTCTTGAAATTATTTTCGCTCGGTCCAAATTCTTAATTATTCCCATGCAAATATCATCGTCATGCCATGCATGCACGTATAATATGCTCACGGAACATATTATACTCTACTGAAATTTCTTATACTCTGTACTACTCACATCTAATTTTATTCTTACCTGAATTCTTCTACGCCAGTAGTAAGAACAATATACTACGAACACGCATGGCTGATATATCTCGATAACTATATATATATTTATATATTTATTTATTGGTGGAAACAACATGGGGTCATCAGTTGTTTTTTATCTTAACAACTTAAAAAATCGCATGAATATTTGTTTGTGTATTGACCCCTATAAATAGCTAAGACTAACTAAATTACAACCTCCTCCTTCTCCTATATTTTTTATTTTCTTCTATCATATTGGTTTTCCTTTTCTCACTTCTTGTGTGTGACTCTCTTTTGCGCATCACGTGCTCAATGAGATACTTTAGTTGAAAAGCCTTAGCAGTCTTTAATAGTATTCACATTATCCTCCATCCACCCTCAACAATCCTCTACAAATAATAGTAGTTGTAAACATATGTTGCCATAAACTTTCGGCATATATTGACAGGAATTCGCAGATGCCTACTAGGTGCTCGATGAAATAGTCCATTAATTGAAGCTTTTTTTTTTTTGATATTACAACCTCATAATTTGAAAATCCTGACTACACTACTCATTTACAATATATACATACATTACACACAGCTTTAAGTCGCATAATGTGTTTCCTAATTATTAGTATGATCTTTTTCTTTCAAAATATTGCCCTTGTTCCCCTTCTAATGCAACTACACATTACTTTTGCAGCCTTTCGATCAGCTTTAAACTTAAAAGAATTTTGACATAGACTGACCTAAAATTAATTAATGAACCAGATTAGGCCCAGAACATGGGTTAAGAACATGGGTTAATGCTTAAGGGTCCTTTCTAATAATGGTTATTGAGCTCCAAATTGGACCAGTAGTTTAAATGTTGTCGCATTAATATTAAATTCTGCGTGAACATTTCGTAGAGATAGGAGGGTTTGGTTTGACTAATTAAAGATATCTTAATTGCTTGTGCCAACTTGTGTGTAATGAGAATGATAAGGCCTGGTGGACCAATTCCTAGCTAGGTACTTAATTTGTACTTCTAGGTAATTAAGTAGGGGTTTCTCATGAGAACTAGAAAAA